GGGTGACACGTGACTCAGTGTGCCCAGCCAGTAAGAGCAGAATCAGCTGGAGTCCTGGCACAGACCTTCCTTTGTGGGTTAGATGGCTTCTGTGAGTCTCCTTGGGGCCGGCAGAGCTTGTTCCCTGCTGCGCAAAGCTACCTCTGTGTGTAGAAGGTGATTTTGAGTGTCACACAGGGCCTTGTGCCTGGAGCTGAGTGCCAAGGAAGGCTGACTACCCTCATCTGTCCCATGGCCTTGGGGCACCCAGCCTGGATAGTCACCCAGAAGGAACACCCACACACACCCCCACCCCACTCCAGGAATTTTGTGATGAGAGATTTGTTTTAATTGTTGCCTGGGACTTTTATCTTTACAATCTTCCCTTGACTTGGCAACAGGTAATTCCAGTAAGGTAGGACATGGTCAGTGGGAGATTCAGATCTCGGGAATTTGATGTGTCATTGAAGGACACTTCCTTTGGTCTCAGTGAGTGTTTCTCTTGCTAAGCCTTAGAAGGACTCGGGAGTCTGGTGTCCTGCACAAGCCACCCTAAACCAGTGACTCATGAAAAACACAGTACCTGTGTAGTCTCTGTTCATGCTGATAGCAACATGAGGTTGTTTGCCTATGAGCACAGCATTTGAACAAGCGTCTCTTCACCCAGTAGGGCACCAACAGACATTTTTTCAAGTCTAGCTTAGTGAACCAATGAGTTTATTGGGGTTACTTACAAGAGTGTGGATGAGGGGATACTAAGAGGAGCATGGATGATCCAAAGGCAGCATCCTCGTTGGAAAGACCACCCCAGTATAGACAGTGACTGTATCCCTTGATTTCTAGCTGCATCTGCAGACCGCTTAGCTGGTGAATATATCTTATTTATCTAGCAGTTGTTACTATTTTTGCCGCCTTTTGCATCTTGGAAGTTGCAGATTTCTTAGCTACTGTACTGTGGTGCTACTGTCCCACAACAGTCCTAAGAAACTTGATCTGTATGAGGCTCTAAACTACACCCCCATTGCAAAAAAGAAACTTCCTTCCCTGACCAGTTGAGGGGCAGCAGCAGTAATCGGTGAGGAAAATACAAATGTTTAATTTGACCTGCACAGTCTACCCACTTAACAAAGCAATAGCAGTAGTCTTCCCTCGGGACCTGTGGCCTTGTTGGCTATGGACTTTTGCCCATCTTCCCTGGCATGTTGGTACTGTAGTCTGAAGGGTCCGTAACCTTTCAAACAGTCAGTAACAGTTATCCCCACCAGCCTCAGTGCCTCCTGGCACTACAAAAGTCTGTGAGTAGGGAGATCTAGGCCTTATTCCTACATGTCCTGCAGCCAAAGCATGTGGTATCTTTAACAGTAGGGACTTAGCATCTGGTTCTAGCATGTAGCCTTTATTGTTTGCGGGGCCTCCCTGGCCAACAGTTTAACAGAGGCAGTTCACACCTGGCAGTGCAGTTTTCACCCAGTGCCCTTACTGTTTCTCAGAGTGCCTTTCTCGTCCAGTCAAGCTGTCTTTGTTTAAACTCCTTAATTTCTCTATCTCCTGTTCTACATGCTTTTACACATCCGCAAGATACTTAGAGGGTTAGCGTTCTGGAGGTGCACAGTTAACCGTTCCAAATAAGCGTCCATGGTCTTGAGCAGCTACGAGGATCCTAAAAAAGAGTTAGTAGCAAGCCTGGACCAGCAGGGAAGATCTCATGACTTCTATCAGTTGTTCTGTCACAAATGAAATGTTTGAGACAATAGTCCAGTACCATGGTTGGGGACAGCACCCTATCTGGCCTCCAGAAGCCACAGGCATTTTCCATGAACCATTAATGTCATCCTGGGTTGCTGCTGCCTCAGGACTGCTGTGGGTCTTTGTTCCTGGTGTTCTGCTGGGCAGGCTTACTGCTTGCCTTGGCTCAGGCCCAAGAGAGGCAGGAACTCCTGGATTACCTCTGGACCTGGTTCCTCAGTTCTGACAGGCACTCTAAGTTACTTCCAGACCACTACTGCTGAAAGGAGCCCCAGTCTGAGAAGTCTTTATCCCAGTGTGCTTTGTGCTGGGACAGTAACTCCCACCCTGTTACTGTACTGTTTTTGCAATGATGTTTATGGATTGTTGCTCAGGTTTTAAATCCTCTGAGAAGCTCATGAGCATAGCACTTGACTCTGTTAATATTTTTGTTTGTTATATTTTTCCAGCAATCCCAATTTAACACAGATTTTTCCACATTTGCCATTGAGTGGCCTGGGCACACCCTTTTCTCTCTTTCTTTCTTTCTTCTTTCTTTCTTTCTTTCTTTTCTTTCTTTCTTCCTTTTTTTTTTTAAATCATCGCTGCTCTCCCCTTTGCTATTTTCTGAATCTGGTTTACATGTCAGTCCTTCAGATCTGCTAGAGCTTCTCCTACGTCATGAAGATCACGTCTCACCATGGGGCTAGCAAAGCCCATCCCAGTCCACGGTCCCTGCTCAATCAACCTTGGTCTTGACTCTTCGGTGAACACACTTCTGTCTGACTTAGTGAACTGAGCATTGGGCAGCATTTCTCTCGTGTGCAGTGTCCTTAGTGATGCCTGTCTTTCCTCTGCTCTCTCTAATTCTCTGATATTCACGGGGACCTCAGCCAGCAATAACCAGGCGGCCCTCGAAGCTTTAGAAGCCAGTACACCAGGGCTGATTTCTCTCCTGTCACCTAAGTTTGTGCGATCTTTGTCTCAAGGGGTGGCAAATAATTATTTTACCTATTTTCTATGCTTGCAGTGCATTTAGATTGATCCCATTGCTCGCTGTGTTCTGCAGCCTCCGGAGCAGTGCAGCGGTAGATGTGACAGGCCCTTTGACTATGTGTTTAAGTCTTGCCCCATCAAGCAGTTCAGATGCTAAGTGCTCCCTTGTAGTTTCTTGGTGTATCACCTGATTCTGCATTACCCTCTCGGTACAGTTCGTGCGCTACTGTACTGTATGTGAGCCGGGCAAGGTCCTGGAGATTGAAAGAACACACAAGAGACCTGGGTCATTTGAAAGGAGATTCAACCTTGGGAAAATCCTTAAATACATAACTCCTGCACAAGGAATTCCCAGGAAATTGCCACACCCAAGATGGAGTAAACAATGCCCTACAGCTAATCACCAGGCTGAGCAGAGGGAGCACAGGAACAAACAAAATATTTTAGTTGGCTGACCAGAAACTGTCCTCAAGATGAACCCCAGGAGCAGGGGTAGACCCATGGGCCCTACATCTTGGCTTGTCTGCTTGTTGAATCATGAGCTTTTCCCTTTTAAAGGTTGGACTTGTGAGGTCTCTTCTGTAACTTCTACCATGTTCTCTTCCTCCCCAATCTTAGTTTCTTCCCAGTCAAGTTTTTGGGTCTCACTCTCATCCTAACTTTTTTCTACTTTTCCTGCCAGGGGATAATGTGATGGGAGACATCGTGTGTCTTTTCCCACAACAAAGGCTATGTACCTGATAGTGCAACTTGTTACCTTATGTGCTACATTCAAGGACTGAGGTACAGTCTCTAGTCCATCAGTGGCTTGGGTAACATGTCCATGACATCCAATACCAAGTACAAGAAGATGGCCACCTATTGATTCTACCTAAGAATGCTCTGCTTTCAGAGAGCTTGGCCTTGGTTGCATGTCTTGTCACCCATGGCCTGGAGCATGCACCCACCACTCCAACAAGGAGGTACTCCATTCCATCCCACACGGGGAAAGGAAAACATGATGGATTGCCTCATAGATAGTCCATCCTTTCACAGGTCACCACCCATTCTGTTTGGGCACCAGTTGTGTGGTGTGACTCTTCCTGCAGAGACGTGAACAAATATCTATTCACTACCAGCAGACCAAAGAAATGGTTGAACCCACAGCCGGCTTACTGAGCCTTTGAGCTCATAGGGCCTACAGAACAATGGATGACTCAGATATAGCTGCATCATTGGAGTTCCCTGCACAGCTTTCAGCTTGTGGGTGGGTCCATTCTCCCCACCAATTGTTACTGTTCATAAAGCCTTGGGGAGAGGCTATGTGAAGTTTGTTAAGTTTTAGGGCCTGACTACGCCGTGTATGTATGCTTACTTCTCTAGGACTAAGGAGCTCCCTCCAGGAGGGATTACTACAATTTGGAAGGAATAACTACACAACAGTAAAGTTATCTGCCAGGCTAGTGATGGGACTCCAGAATGCCTGGTAACTCTATGGGGCCACTGCCTCTAGTGGTGCTAACAAGGCCCAAGGGTAGTCAGTGACAGGTGACTTCCATCTTAACAGTGTTGGCTTTCATATGCTGGCTTTACTGTCACTGCAACTACAAGGTGTTTGGGTACCTGTGCCTCACTGAGGGTATCTGGAAGTTACACCCCTAAGAGACATCCATTCTGGTGATGTCACATCACACCCCCAGACTTGATTTGAGTGTTGCCTGTACTATTAATGCTTTTGTGTAGTCATCTTAAACTCTAGATTTGTCCATGGGACCTTGACTGTGTTCTTGGGTGATGGTGGGACACTCATCACACCTGCTGAGTATAAGGGTGAGGGCGTCCACACCTGGGCCTGTACACAGGTTGTGTGGAGGGTGACAACTAAAGTTGGTAGAGTTGCTGTATTGCCGTTCTCTTCAGGGATCTATCCTCAATTGTCCCCTACATGCATATCAGTCCTTCTCTTTTGAGGTAGACAGTGCCCATCTTCCCTGTCCCATCATGGAAGTTACATCTTAGTCTGCTCTGGCTTCTCCCTGGGTTATTTATTGGACCTGGGGTGGAGGGTACCCTGCATGTTCAGGTGGGTGTATTGCTAATAGGATCTGTATCCTCAGAACCTTCCATATATCTGCTGTTCAGAGTAGCTGGCCAGAGCCGTACTACAGCACCCAGCATACTCAAAAGCGGTATTCTGTTAAATTTTACCTTGGCATTTGTAGCAACCCCAGGCAGGGCTAGCTGGCACATAGAACACAATGCAAGCACCCCTTGTAGGCATCTGTATGGTGCATGGCTGGGTTTTTCTTCTTTCTTTGCAGATACATGTCCCAAAGCAAACATGCAGAGGCCCGGGAGCTCATGTACTCAGGAGCATTGCTCTTCTTTAGTCATGGCCAGGTAAGTGCTGCCACCATGGGGAAAGGCCTGGGGGTGAGGGTGGGGTATATCAAACTGTCCTGGGCTCTGACCACCAATGGCATAGGGTCCTAATCTCCATGGCTGTTGCTGTGGGACCTTTGTGACTGGAGCTCTAGGCTTGGTTCTGGTTGCCAGTTGCCAGTGACCCAGCTGTATTGCTCATTGGCAAGGCAGTATCCCTATGTGTTTACAGGTGCCATCTGCAGAGCCTGCAGCCCCCTGCTTTACCTCAACTCTTCTAAAGGACTAGGGGACCCTGTTGCTAACCGTGGTTTTGTACGTTGATTGTTCTGCAGCAGAACAGTGCGGCTGATTTGTCCATGCTGGTCCTTGAATCCCTGGAGAAGGCAGAGGTGGACGTAGCTGATGAGCTATTGGGTGAGGACTCCACACTGCGTGTTGCAGTGTGCAGTAGCCCATCAACATGGGCTTCTGTGACTGATCTCCTCCAGAGTCCCTTCACTAGTTCTAGTCCCACTTGGTGTGGGGGGTGGGGGTTGGTGGTCTCTGCACTCCAGGACTGATTTTGTCATGGGGTGATCACACTGGCCATGCCCAGCTGATCCCATGGGTACACACTACAGATCTGTTGGCAGCAAATCCCACTGAGCCAGCATGTGGCTACTAGAGCCCTTCCTGCAAACTGCCCTGTGGCCTCTTCTGCTCTTACAGAAGGGGAAGTTGCTCTCAACTGGAGCCTTCCTGCTGGTCCTCTGCTACCACAGAACTGCCTCCAAGCATGGCCCACCCACATCAACGTAGTCAGAAGGGCAGTGGGCAAGCCAGCCAGAGAAGGCCCCAGACCTACAGTGCATGTGGGACACCCAGCAGCACTCTAATGGCTTTTGGACTTTCACTGAAGTTATATAATGGGAGGGGGTAGTTGAGGAGGGCTGAGACAGGGTCTAACTATTGTATCCCAGGCTAGTCTTAAACATACAGTACTTCTCTAGCCTCTTCACAGAGTGCTAAATTTTTGTTGACGTGGGACACCTCACATGTGCCTTTGGTAAGGGTCCGATTGTGTCATTTGCAGAAAATCTGGCTAAAGTGTTCAGTTTGATGGATCCAAACTCCCCTGAGCGAGTAGCTTTTGTGTCCAGAGCCCTGAAGTGGTCCAGTGGAGGGTCTGGGAAGCTGGGCCATCCTCGGCTCCACCAGTTGCTGGCCCTAACGCTTTGGAAAGGTAGGCATGGGGTCCCTACCTTCAGCCAGCAGCCGAATCCTCTGTGTACTTGCCTGCTGATAAGCTGGGAGAGGCCATGGGGGAAGCACATCAGCCTGTCTTTGAACCAGATAGTCCAGGATTTCTGCTTTGGTAGTAAACTGACCCTGGATGGACCCTCCACAGCCTATAAGGGACCCCTGGGGAGTGGTGCTGCTTCCTTTCCAATCTCTGTCCTGATTCTCTAACCTGGTTGGTCACACGCTCTTCTTCCCACAACTTCCCACTCCTCCTTCCTCGGTGAGCATCCACATCCCATCCCTTTGGTGACTCCCTGCTCTGTAGTTCTCTTAATGTTTATCTCAGTGAGCTTTGGTTAGATTATTTTCTTTTTTTTAATATTTATTTATTTATTATGTATACAATATTCTGTCAGTGTGTCTGCCTGCAGGCCAGAAGAGGGCATCAGATCTCATTTCAAATGGTTGTGAGCCACCATGTGGGTGCTGGGAATTGAACTCAGGACCTTTGGAAGAGCAGGTAATGAATGCTCTTAACTGCTGAGCCATCTCTCCAGCCCTGGTTAGATTATTTTCCATGGAGTGGACTGCAGTTGTACCTGGTCTTGGCTCTTGAGTTGGCTTGGGCACAAGACACATGCTTGGTGAATGTCTGCTGGAACCTGAACAGCTCCTACCCAGTGGCGTTCCTCTGAAACAGTGTGGAGCTGTATACCCTGTGAGGGTGGCATTCTTGCTACAGCCGTCCTAATGGGTGGACTAGGCCTAATGGAGCTTGGGTGAGAAGAGGCATATTTAGAAGTACACAGTGACCTGTGACACACACCCTCCTTTGTGCATCAGGCACCCCAAAGGTCTGAGCCAGAGGTATATGTCAAAGTTCTGTGAGCAAGACTTGCTGCTGCGCCCCCTCTGGCTACAGCCATGCAATCAGAGGGTGTACCTGACCTAGTTCTTAGAGTCCAGCAGCTGTACACCCAGAGGTGCACCCCCCATAGCAACTGTGCTGGGACAGACTTCCTATGTCCTATGGGCTTATGGTGTCTCCTCCACCCTCCTGGGCACTGTACTCTGCCTTCACTCCAGAGGACAGTCAGGACTCTGGAGACTGAAAGATTAGGATCTTCAGGGAAACTCAGAGAAAACCCTCAAGCTCCAGAGCTTAGGAGTGCAGGTGCCACGTGTGCCTACTGTGTGCCTCAGAGTGCTGCCTTCCTCTTGAGGGCTGTTTTGTCCTCCGGCTGAGAGCAAGCTGCCTGTCACTTGTGGCCCAGGCCTCACATAGTACATGCAGTACATGCCTGTTACATGGTCTGAAAATAGTCAGTCTGCACGATGGGGCTGCCAGCAGGGGATTCTCAGATCCACTCAGCAGAAATCTGAGAGAGGTTGTAGTGACTGTGCCTCCTGGGAATGAGTGAGGTACTGAGCCCAGGCCACAGCCATCCCAGGAACCATGGCTACCTGGGGAAGGGGGTTAGGGGCTCCCAAATACTTGCTTCAAGACTAAGTTGCCCAGGCTAGTCTACTAGTCACTTCCCAGAGTGCCCTGCCCCGAGGGTGTTTGCCAGACAGGAGCAGGCTGGGAAAGAAGAGGGTCTGCCTTAATTACTGCTTGCTCTCTTGCTCTCAGATACCCAAAAATCCTAGGCAGAAAAGGCCTTTGTGGGTGGGTTATGGGCTGGGGGACCCCAGTTGTTGGTGTTGAGAGGCTCCTTTCCTCCTTTCTGTTGTTAAAGCTCCAAGAGCAGAAGGAATCCCAGGTTCTTCCTTGATCTTACTCAGGATTCCCAGCATTCTTTACTGTTAGGTCTTAGGGTTAAACATAGTAGACATTGATGCTCTTCACTATGTGCCAATGAGCCTCCCTTAGCCAGGGCCCTCTGAGTAGTTAGTAGTAATTACAGAAGAAGTAACTTGCTGTGGACCCAGCTCACATGCATAAAAGGGTTGGGCAGACACTTAGAACAGGGAGAAGGGAAGCTGGGTGTCTATTGAGCTGTTTGGTGTTGGGTCTCTGAGCACAGGGAAGCTGGTAACCGGCAGGCATGAGCAGCTGTGCAGACGGATAGCTTGTTCCAGGGTTAGTGGCCTAGAAAAGGCAGCAGGTGTGCCCAGGGCAAATGGGTTGGACCAGGGAAGGAGGAGTGGGTGGCTCTGTGCGCCCCGTGCTCACACGTGCCCATCTGCAGATTCTTTCCCTTCACAGAACAAAACTACTGTGAGTCTCGGTATCACTTTCTGCACTCCACTGACGGTGAGGGCTGCGCCAACATGCTGGTTGAGTACTCCACCGCCCGAGGCTTCAGAAGTGAGGTGGACATGTTCGTGGCCCAGGCTGTGCTACAGTAAGTGCCCGTGAGGACTTTGTGGGGCCTTTGTGGAGCTCCCAGCCTGGAGCAGAGACAGCCCTGAATAGGCTGCCTTGTCCTTAGGCTGCAGTGCTGGAGGGAGAACCTCAGGCCCAAGGCTGTCTTTTCAGATAACACAGTGTCCACAGTTGCACTCTGCCAACCACCCTGCCTAGGAGTCTGCAGCTTGTGTTTGCCCTGGAGGATGGAGGCACGGCCGCAGCTTATAGGGCAGTTTGTCTGCACCTGCCCAAATCAGGAAGGCACTGCACTTGTTTTTCAAACTGGGTATTTTAAATTACAGATTTATTGATTGACTTAGTGTGTACAGAGAGGGGAGTTGCAGGGACACACATGCTGTGATGAGCATGTGAAAATGTGAGAGGGAGCTTGCTGGAGTCCTCTGCCTCCACCATATTGGTCTTAGGATTGAACTCATCATCTGGCTTGATGACAAGCGCCTTACCTACTGAGCCATCTCATCTACTTCTTCAGGCCTCAGCCTCCCCTTCCCAAGGAACAGTGCTCTCCTGTGGTCATCCACAAAAACACTTTGTTGTGCGGATAGTGGCAGGAGGGTCTGCTGTGGGGACTCAGAGTACTGTATTTACTTTTGAGACAAGTTCTTACTGTAAAGCCCTGGCTGACCACAGAACTAGATCAGTTGGCCTGCTTCAGCTTTCCAAGTGTTGGAACTGCAGACATACGCCACCATGGCCAGTTGTCATGATTTGTACAAAGGGACTGTGTAATATCTCCAGCTCGCCAGCCTGACTCTGGGCGTGCACTGCAGCTATTGTCTCCCCACTCAAGTACTGGGGACCACGTTTTTCTTGATGGATTTGGGGCCTCTGAGGTAACATCCTAGGCAGAGGCTAAGTCTGCCTAGAGCCCAGCACAGCATCAGGGTCAGTTTCCTACTCAGCCCCCTGCACCATGTGCTCCTATGACAGATGCAGGCAGATGTGGAGAAAGCAAAGGCCATGGTTGAGGAGTGAGTACCCATCTTGTCCCCATCTTCTAGCTCTGTTGATCTTCAAAGCTGTTTTCCTTCTGAGGCTTAATCCCTTCACCAGTGTGTGGAAGGATCTGTGCCCTGTGAGAGGCAGCCCCCAGGACTCACCCTGGCCTCCCAAGTGTCCTGCACCCCGTTAGGCCTGTGGAGACACCAGGCATCCAGATAGTGTGGGTGCTACTGTCAGACAAGGTCTTGTGTGTTGTATTTGCCACTTGTGGGCATCTGTGGAAACCTGAGTCTGCCTGTGGGATTTCACTCATTAGATATTCTCGCATATAGGTTTCTCTGTTTGAAAAACAAGAACAGTGCACTGGTGGTCTTTACAACGTACACACAGAAGCACCCATCCATTGAGGATGGGCCACCCTTCGTTCAACCCCTGCTCAATTTCATCTGGTTTCTGCTGCTGGCTGTGGACGGGTGAGTGATCTGGGCAGGTGCTGGGTGCTGTGTGAATGTCTGTGCAGCCACAGGTCTCACTGGGAGTCATCCTTGATTCTTATTGCAGTGGCAAGCTGGCTGTGTTCACAGTGCTGTGCGAGCAGTATCAGCCGTCCCTGCGGAGAGACCCCATGTACAACGAGGTGAGCTCTTGCACTTGGTTGAGGCTCCCCACCTGGGCATCTGCCTGGAGGAGGGAGCACAGCGGGCAGCCGCAGCTGGGCCCTGTGGTTGGGCGCTTTTCACCTGCTGACCTACTGCCCTGCTTCTTGCAGTACCTCGACAGGATTGGACAGCTCTTCTTCGGTGTGCCGCCAAAGCAGACATCCTCCTATGGAGGCTTGCTAGGTGAGCCGTGTGATCTGGTCCTGGACAGGTGGCTCCCCTCAGTCCTTTCCAACCTATTGTTGAAGTCTGTGCCTCAACAGCTCAGGTTGTCCACTGAGCACCACTTGATGGGTCTGAACTCCAAATATGAGCACCTCCCCTCCAAGGCAGGGCATGGCCAGTGTAGTGTGGTCCTCTGGGCATTTTAAGTGTTCACTTTTCTTTTTCTGGTGCTGGATGGGAGGTCTTGCACCCACGAGACAAGTTTTTACCACTGACCTGCATCTCCTCCCCTTCTGTGTTCATGTTCTAAGTAGTAAATCCCACTTCAGCGTTCAGAATCTCTCTCTGCTGCTGGCAGGGTGACTCTACAGTCATTGTGCATGGCATGAGCTGTACTGTGCCATTATCTGCTGAAGTGGGGATCTTCCATGCACGTGGTGTGAAGTCACACCGTGTTGTGGAGTGGAAGGAAGTACAGCTTGGTGTACCATGAACAAGTCCACGTGGGCTCTCTGGGCACAGGCTGTGTCCTAGTGACTTGGTGTAGACTGTGACAGTATTTCTCTAGTTTGTTGATGGTTTGTTTTTTGAAACAGGGTCTCATTATATAGTTCTGACTGGCCTTGAACTCAGATCTTATCTCAGCGTCTTGGATGCTTAAAGCCAAGTCTGTCACCCTGCCTACCTATTGTTGGTACTTGTTTGAGACAAGGTCACTCACTACCTATAACTCATATTAACTTTAAACTAACTTCGATCTGCCTGCCTCAGCCTCCTAAGTGCTGAGATCCTAAGCCTATACACCTAGCTTTTCTTATGATGTTTATCTCTCTTGAACCTGCTTCCTGTGGAGTGTGAGCAGGGCTCAGCTGTCGCCAGTGAGCACTACTGCTTTCTCCTGCCTGAGCCTCAGGGGCCTGAGCGGCACTGAGGGATTGGCATTTCTGGAAACATTTGTACATATCTCAGTTTGGAGTAGCAGTTCAGGGTTGTTAGGATATATACTTGTCCATCCCACAGAGTTTTAGAGCCATCAAGTCCCCTTTCCCCCCAGAAATACGTACCCAAGGGGCCACAGGGAAATGCAGGCAGAAGAGCATCTACATCCTTGCAGAACACCCACCGTCTCTCACTCTCAGGAATAGAGGACTCCTAGGGTTACAGAGACGTGGTCAGTGTGAATCTGTACATTTGAGATGTGCACACAGGAGGTGGGTGTAAGGTATCTCAGATGTGGCCTTGGGGCTCTGGTTTACGTGCTGTGCAGATTCTCTGGTAGTCATGGGACTTGAGCTGCTCCTTCATGGCTTCCAAACTCCTCTGCTGATGAAGGTTCGGGGTTTGTCTTGCCCCATCCCTAGTCATCAGGAACATTCCTAGTGTGACCTCCAAGAGCTATAGCCAGCTGGGCCTCTGAGCTCTGTTTTCCTGCAAAGCATGGCGACCTGGGCATCAAGCTCCTTTGGGAGGGTAAGACTTCCAGAACAACACTGTTTCTGGGTATTGACAAATGGCTGGGTGTGTCTTTTCTAGACAACCTACTTGAATGGTGACCTGGGTAGTGGGTTCCTTGGGAAGGTCGGGCCTCCAGGACAGCACTGCCTCTGTGCATTAATCATCACTGGCCGGTGTCTCCCTCTAGGGAACTTGCTGAGCAGCCTCATGGGCTCCTCAGAGCAGGAGGAGGGGGAAGAGAGCCAGGATGACAGCAGCCCCATCGAGCTGGACTGAAGCTGCCTGGCCAGCATGGAGATGCCCATGGCCGGCACCACTGGGACGGATTCAGTGCCAGGCTGGGCACGAGGCCCCTTACCAGTGGGCTCTTGCTCCGCAGCTGGAGGGGCCACCTGTGCAGAGTCTGTCCCTATTTATGTATGGTGGCTGAGGGCTGTGTGGCCAGGACCAAGAGCAAGGCCCAGCTCCTGCTGGCCAACCGTGTTCCTTCAGATCACCCACAATAAAGCGCAGGCCTTGCTGCAGCACCCCGCTGCCATCCTTGTCTCTGGTTCCTTGGGGAGGGCTGCAGGGTGACAGGCAGCCTGGCGTCAGCGACTGGTGTCCCTTCTCCTGTGTCCAGTGCAGCCGTGGCATGCTGGAGGAATGGTGGCCACTGCTGTGAGCCAGGCAGGATCCTGAATCCCGAAGATGAGATCGGGTTTCTTATTTGTTTGAATTTTGTTTGGACACAGAGTCGTTTTGCAATCATGGTGAGCTTCCCAGGATCAGAGCACATGTGCTGTGGTGGGCAGACTCCTTGGAGGTCGCAAGCAGCTGGCCAGAGTTATGTCCCGTGATCTGTAGGGCTCTGGCCCCTGCTGTAGTCTGTGGGCTTGTCTGTTCAAGCCGCAGCCCTGCTGGTCCCCATGAGCCCCACACTGCTGCTCTGGAGATGTTTTTAAAGGGTGCCGTAGATTTTCATGTCCTTCATGTTGCAGTATTTATTTTTACTGGGTGAGGGATTTTTTCAACCTGATGTTTTAGGACTTAACCAAATAACCAGTCCAGGAATGAGCAACCCTATCCATTACCACAGATAATATCCACGCTACCAGTCTGATTATAAAGGGAGACACTTTATTTTTTCACAATTAAAATAGAGTTGTAGATTAATACACCTCTATCTTGCATGGGAAGGAGGGAAATATGCGTTATTTACTGTAAAAAAAAAATGGAATTTAAAGGAAGGCTTGTGTCACCTGTTGACTATAAATAAATCCTTTCTACTGGGCTTTGCAGTAGTCCTTTCTGGGTGAGCTCTGGGCCGGGCACGGGGCTGGCTTTGGGCCTTGGCATTCAGTTCCCACCTATGGGTACAACAACCTCAGGCAGGGTGGGATTGGCTGTGTGTCCAGGCTGGGCCTGGCTAGCTAGGGAGGAAGCACATCCTGTGCTGTCTGTACCATTTCCCTGTGCATCCATGCTGCTGTGTCCACCAGAGTGGCCAGTGTTAGTGCCAGCAGTGTCTACATTCACAGGTTGTCACATAGAAATAAGTTGTCTTATTGAAATCACCTCCACCATGGTGTGTGGCTCGGCCTCAGGGAGCAAGAGGGGTAACTGGTGCATGGAGGACTTGGTGCAGGGGAGTCTTAGACATAGGGAAGTCCCCAAAAGGTGGGGATATAGTTAGGCATGGCACCAGGAAGGAAGCCATAGTGTGCAGGGCATAGACCAGAGCTGCCTCCGCTCAGCTGTAACATTTGCTTCAGAATCATGTATTGGAGTTCATGTCATTGATGTATTTTGGAACAGTACAGAATTCAAATTTTGTGTATGTGTAAGGATGCCTGGAGTTAACCCCAGTTGAGTACAAAGGAAAGCTGGCATTTGTTCAGAAACATGAGACATGAATGGGACCCTCTCCATACGGTGTCTCTTACATACACAGTGCTCCTCACACCCCACTGTGCCCTTATACACACACTGCTCCTTACACACCAGTGTCCCTTACCCACACACTGATCCTCACACCCCACTGTGCCCTTACACACACCCACAGTGTCCCTTACCCACACACTGATCCTCACAACTCATTGTCCCTTATCTCCCCACACACACAGATCCTCACACCCCACCGTGCCCTTACCCACACACACTGATCCTTACACCCTGCGATACCTCCACAGCGCACAGTGTCCCTTCTACATGCAGTCCATTCCTCAGGACTTTATGACAACAGTTTACTGTGCCATTTTCATGCTTGTCACTGTCAGCAGGTGAGACGTCATCATCCTCTTAGCCCTTGTACAGGCTGCATCCTGGCTGAAAGATGTCCAAGGTTACAGTGACTTTTCTTGATTTGCCAATTTCCCATCTAGTGAAAAACTTTCCCTGCTATGTCATTTTGTGGTTACTTAGACACATGTCAAGGGGGTCACTGTTGCTAGTATACACTGATGTCTACATGCAGAAGTCTCTAGAACAGGCCCATCAGTAAGGTGATACTAGTGAACCTGTTGGTCCTGGTGGGGGAAATGGAGGGGACCCTGGAATGTCATCACTAACCCAGCTGCTATGGGGACCTGACCAGTTTGGGAGAAGGAATTGAGTCGTATATCAATGACAGAGTGCCTACCTAATATATTTAGGGGCCGCGATTCCTTGTCCAGTGCCACATGTAAACAGTTTTAAGTGGGAGAACAGTGAGAGGGCTAGGGGACCCAGCTGACACCTGGGTACACACCTGGGCTCAGCACTCCAGATATGGCCAAAGATGTCTGCTGGGCTCAGCATTCCTGGGTGACTAGGCACTTGCCAGGAGTGTTCAACTCAGGGTCTGTCACAGCCCACAGAGGCTAGCAAATGTGGGCAGCAGTGGTCTAGGACGGGTCTCGGTGTATAGGCTGTGGTAGGGGAGCCCAGGGTTCCTGCTGGGGTTGGACAGTCCAGCACAGGGGCTAGGCCTTCCTGGGGCTGTAACACAAACACACACACACACACACAGAGCATAGTGGGCATAGTGACTGGGGACTAAGGACACAGGTTGCAGAGTCAGGCCTGCCATGGAAGTGACATAGTTCTTCTCATATCCCTTACTATTCAAAGGAGGCTGCCAGCCCTCTCATCCCCGCTTTAGCCACCAACACACAGAAAGGACCACGCCAGAGCCACACTTTATTCCAGGGGACATGACACAGGGCAGCAGAAGCCCGACTAAGGACCCCTCCCCCAGCTCCCTGGGGCGCAGCTTTGACGAGGATCAGGTCACTCACAGATGTGTCCCTCACTAATGCTCCCCAGCTGTCCAGCGGCCAGGACCTGCCCTTTGGGGGGTCCCATAGAAGGGAGCCCAGTCGATGGGGTGGCCAGAGGGCAGCAGGGTAAATAAATACAGGTGGCTTTAACTACTGGCCTGCCAGCAGCAATCAGGGCTGGGGGCAGCCACTCCTGCCCATGGCCACCTCTTGGTTTGGGCTTTCATTCATCAAGGGCTCAAAGACTGTGAGGTCAGGGCCAGAGGGCATGGGTTACAAAGCGGGGACAGCACCGAACTGGGCACTGACGCCCAAAAGCAGTTGGGACCTCCCTGGCTCCCAAGGAAACCGCTGCTGGGCTCCATGCACAGCACCCTGCAGGCTCCCTCCCCGCTGCCCCAGCCAGCTGTCCCGAGGGCACTGGGTGCCACAAGCAGCTGGGCCCAGGGCCTGTGCACACAGTTAAGTTTTCTTGGGGAAAAAACTGCCCCCAATAAAACTACCCCCAGTGCCCTAGCTGGGTCAGTCCTAGGAGGAGAGCTGACCCCTGACCTTTGATCCCTGACTGACACACAGCAGGTGCTCAATAAATACTTGTTGAGATGGGGGAGGGAAGGGGAGGCATGCGGCATGTCCCAGAGTCCCCAGCAGCCAGGCCAGCCCACTGCCACAGCTGTCCATGGCTGTCCATAGCAGCCCAGCACCGAGTCCTGCCCTGAGGCCAAGATCCCCTCAGGCCAGGAGAGTTAGTAGGGGCCTGCTTAAGTAGGGAGGCAGGGCTTCCAGCAGCAGGAAGGTGGCTGGGTCAGCTGGGAGCGGCTAGGAGCAGCGTGACAGGGCCCCCGGGTCAGGTGAGGCCCAGAGCCAAGTCTGCCTTCACCTTCAATGAGGTTCTGAAGAAATGCCTGTCCAACGGGCTTGCCTGAGCCCCACCTGGCCATGCCTGTGCTGCACCAAGGGGCAGGATGTGGGCCAGGAGGCTGGGCTCCCCTACTATCCGGTGCCTCCTCTCCAGCCACGTGAGTGCAGAATCCTGGGGCCTCCGGGCTGTCTTCCTTAGGGTTTATGCTTGAAGTGGGCTTCCACTAGAAACAGGAACGGTCCACGCTTGGGAGCTGCCAGCTCACTCAGCCTCCCTCCATAGCCCACAGCCTCCCCTCCACTGCCTACCTGGGGCTCAGGATGCAGACACAGAGCCACACTTCACTAGGGGCCATCACCCATGACCCTGCCGACACCCTCCTTCCCCACACCCACGCCTCTTACCTGCGTACTCCTGAGGCAGCATGGGCCTGTCCACCACCTTCTGGAAGGCCGCGATCCACTCCCGTTGGTCTGCCTCTGTCTCGCAGGTGAACAGGAATTTGCGGTCAGGGGTGACAATGGTGATGCCATGGGACCAGTGGTGGCCTTGGGTAGATGGCGGGAGCCCCTCCAGCACTGTGTAACCACTTTCCTTGCTGCCAATGAAAACTTCCCCTCGTGCAAAGGCATCCTGTGTGTGGATGAGAAGAGGCTGGGATATGGGGGTGGGGACCCCTTCCCCCACAGGCTGTTCCCCCTGCTTTCTCTCCAAGCCTAGCCAGGCGAGGCCCTAGAATCCTAGGACCCTGAGGAATCCCAGCCCCATTCTCTCACCAGTCACCCCGAAACAGGCCAGTGGCGGGAGAGGGGGGCAGGGGACTGGAGCCAGACCTTCCTTACCAGGGGGTCTTTGAAGTACATGAGCCTCCGGTCATCCATGGTAAACCAGCGCTTCCTGAAGCCTTCTGTCTGCTGTGGGTCGGGAGGATGGGAAGCAGTCAGCAGCCCCAAGGCGTTCCTCTGCCCCAGCTGACCCCCACTGAATACACAGAGGGTAGGGCCTCACAGGCACCGCCTGGCCAGCCAGTGCGTGAGGGGCCACCAGTGCATGAGGGGCTTTCGTCATGCTTGAGACCCAGGTTAGGGTCCAGATCTTGAATGTACGCCACTACTGTGTTACAGAACAGATGTGACGGTCCCTCCTGAAGAGGGGCCTGAGGGCAGGAGGCTCAGGCTGACTCAAGCCCTAGAACCTGCAACCCAGTCACTTGTCCTCATGCCAGCACCACAGCACAGACAGGGACTCAAGGGACCACCCTGAAGCTCAAGGCCACAGCCCTAGGATACGCGGGATGCGCCTGGGAAAGGACTGGCCTAGTGAGTCACTGTGCCCAGTGCATCTAGTGACCCAGCACCCAGCCTGACCTCAAGCAGCCCCCAGGCAGACAGAAGCAAGGTGGTTGACCTTAAACAGACCTAAAAGC